AAGGAGTTTCTGTCTGTTTCTCCATGCTCAAGTCTGCTCTCTGCGGGGGCTATGTCAACTTTGGGGTGTTCCGTCTCTACGGGGACAGTGCCTTGGATGATGCCCTGAGTACCTTTGTCAAGCTGCTGCTGTCCATCCAGCAGTCTGATCTACTGGTGAGTTGGTTGGCCATCCCATAGAAATATCCTTGATCATCCCATTTAAACCTCTCTTTCCTTGACCCTACCCATCCTGATCATCCTTTGAAACATCCTCGCCAATATTCCTTGTTGTTTCTTATCCCCTTGTGTAAGGATTACACAAATTCCATGAGTTTGTGCTTTTTGATCATCCCATGTAGACATCTCTTTTTGCCCATACTCCTTGACCCTACCCTTCCTGATCATCCTATGGAAACATCCTTGCCCATACTCCTTGTTGTTGTTTCTTATTCCATTGTGTAAAGATTACACAAATTCCATGACCATGCTCCTTTATCAACCCATTTAGACTTCTCTCTTTGCCCATTTCCCTTGATATTACACTTCCTGATCATCCTATGGAAACATCCTTGCCCATACTCCTTGTTGTTGTTTCTTATCCCCTTGTGTAAAGATTACACGAATTCCATGAGTTTGTGCTTTTTGATCATCCCATGTAGACATCTCTTTTTGCCCATACTCCTTGTTGTTGTTTCTTATCCCCTTGTGTAAAGATTACACGAATTCCATGAGTTTGTGCTTTTTGATCATCCCATGTAGACATCTCTTTTTGCCCATACTCCTTGACCCTACCCTTCCTGATCATCCTATGGAAACATCCTTGCCCATACTCCTTGTTGTTGTTTCTTATCCCCTTGTGTAAAGATTACACGAATTCCATGACCATGCTCCTTTATCATCCCACGTAGACATCCTACCCTTCCTGTTCATTCCTTGCCCATTTTCCTTGATCCCACACTCTTTAATCACTCACCCAATTTATCTTGTTGCCTATGTTTCTAATTAGTCAAATTAATGATGGAAATTTTAAAGAAAAATGGTTAAATTATTGCACAAGTGTTATAATTGGTTAAATAAATGGAGTATTTGTTGCCCAAATGCTGACGAAGATGTGTGACAGGACTACCCCAAGCTGAGCCAGACCTACTACGTGCTCCTAGAATGTTTGGCCCAGGACCACATCACCTTCCTGACATCCTTGGAGCCTTCTCTCTTCCTCTATGTCCTCTCCTCTATCTCTGAGGGACTCACGGCCCTGGGTGAGTCTTTGTTTGTCTCCCTTCCTTATCTGAGGGACTCACGGCCCTGGGTGAGTCTTTGTTTGTCTCCCTTCCTTATCTGAGGGACTCACGGCCCTGGGTGAGTCTTTGTTTGTCTCCCTTCCTTATCTGAGGGACTCACGGCCCTGGGTGAGTCTTTGTTTGCGTCTCTTCCTTGTCTAAGGGACTCACGGCCCTGGGTGAGTCTTTGTTTGCGTCTCTTCCTTGTCTGAGGGACTCACGGCCCTGGGTGAGTCTTTGTTTGCGTCTCTTCCTTGTCTAAGGGACTCTCGGCCCTGGGTGAGTCTTTGTTTGTCTCCCTTCCTTGTCTAAGGGACTCACGGCCCTGGGTGAGTCTTTGTTTGTCTCCCTTCCTTGTCTAAGGGACTCACGGCCCTGGGTGAGTCTTTGTTTGCGTCTCTTCCTTGTCTAAGGGACTCACGGCCCTGGGTGAGTCTTTGTTTGCGTCTCTTCCTTGTCTGAGGGACTCACGGCCCTGGGTGAGTCTTTGTTTGTCTCCCTTCCTTGTCTAAGGGACTCACGGCCCTGGGTGAGTCTTTGTTTGCGTCTCTTCCTTGTCTGAGGGGACTCACGGCCCTGGGTGAGTCTTTGTTTGCGTCTCTTCCTTGTCTAAGGGACTCTCGGCCCTGGGTGAGTCTTTGTTTGTCTCCCTTCCTTGTCTAAGGGACTCACGGCCCTGGGTGAGTCTTTGTTTGTCTCCCTTCCTTGTCTAAGGGACTCACGGCCCTGGGTGAGTCTTTGTTTGCGTCTCTTCCTTGTCTAAGGGACTCACGGCCCTGGGTGAGTCTTTGTTTGCGTCTCTTCCTTGTCTGAGGGACTCACGGCCCTGGGTGAGTCTTTGTTTGCGTCTCTTCCTTGTCTAAGGGACTCTCGGCCCTGGGTGAGTCTGTGTTTGTGTCTCTTCCTTGTCTAAGGGACTCACGGCCCTGGGTGAGTCTGTGTTTGCGTCTCTTCCTTGTCTGAGGGACTCACGGCCCTGGGTGAGTCTTTGTTTGCGTCTCTTCCTTGTCTAAGGGACTCTCGGCCCTGGGTGAGTCTGTGTTTGTGTCTCTTCCTTGTCTAAGGGACTCACGGCCCTGGGTGAGTCTTTGTTTGCGTCTCTTCCTTGTCTGAGGGACTCACGGCCCTGGGTGAGTCTTTGTTTGCGTCTCTTCCTTGTCTGAGGGACTCACGGCCCTGGGTGAGTCTGTGTTTGCGTCTCTTCCTTGTCTAAGGGACTCACGGCCCTGGGTGAGTCTGTGTTTGCGTCTCTTCCTTGTCTAAGGGACTCACGGCCCTGGGTGAGTCTTTGTTTGCGTCTCTTCCTTGTCTAAGGGACTCACGGCCCTGGGTGAGTCTGTGTTTGTGTCTCTTCCTTGTCTAAGGGACTCACGGCCCTGGGTGAGTCTGTGTTTGCGTCTCTTCCTTGTCTAAGGGACTCACGGCCCTGGGTGAGTCTGTGTTTGCGTCTCTTCCTTGTCTAAGGGACTCACGGCCCTGGGTGAGTCTGTGTTTGCGTCTCTTCCTTGTCTAAGGGACTCACGGCCCTGGGTGAGTCTTTGTTTGCGTCTCTTCCTTGTCTAAGGGACTCACGGCCCTGGGTGAGTCTGTGTTTGCGTCTCTTCCTTGTCTAAGGGACTCACGGCCCTGGGTGAGTCTGTGTTTGCGTCTCTTCCTTGTCTAAGGGACTCTCGGCCCTGGGTGAGTCTGTGTTTGCGTCTCTTCCTTGTCTAAGGGACTCACGGCCCTGGGTGAGTCTGTGTTTGCGTCTCTTCCTTGTCTAAGGGACTCTCGGCCCTGGGTGAGTCTGTGTTTGCGTCTCTTCCTTGTCTAAGGGACTCTCGGCCCTGGGTGAGTCTTTGTTTGTGTCTCTTCCTTGTCTAAGGGACTCACGGCCCTGGGTGAGTCTTTGTTTGCGTCTCTTCCTTGTCTAAGGGACTCACGGCCCTGGGTGAGTCTTTGTTTGTGTCTCTTCCTTGTCTAAGGGACTCACAGCCCATGAAGAAAAAAATTGCTTCAATGGCCCCTGATTCTTGTAGAAGTTCAATCCTGTTAGTGAGTGCAAGTAACCAAACGGGGCTCTGGTACATTTGTAAGTGCAAAAGTCAAACTGCTTTCCACGTGTGTAGATAAGTGGTGCACACCATGATTATCATGGCCTGTTGTTTCTTATCTCCTTTTGCCAAGTTTGCACAAATTCCATGGGTCCATGCTCCTCAAGCTGTTTAGTGATAAGCAGTGGCTTCTCCCAAAGGTCCTGTTTAGTACATCTAATGCAAGCCAAAATGTGTTCTGGAGCTGCAGGTGCCAAGCTACATTTTGGGCAAGTGGGGTAGATTTTGTTATTATTTCTATCTTCAATGGTTTGAGATGGCCTGTTCTATATCTTGGCCTGTACCTAGGATATGTAGCACCTGTGGCTGTGTGGTGCAGACACCATGGTGTGCACGGGTTGCTGTGCCACTCTGGACCACATTGTGACCTTCCTCTTCAAGAGGATCTCCAAGTGTGGAAAGAAGAGGCAGGTGGCCGTGGGCGGCTCTGAGACAGAGAACTGTCTGCGGGTGCTGGAGATGCATCCGGAGATACTGCAGCAGGTGGGTATCTACACACTAGTAGTTGAGCTACATGTAATGTCTGTTCTAAAGCTGGCATTAAATTGAGAGGGCAAACTGATCACATGATCTCTATTTTCTCCAATCTTTCAGTCATGACTTGGAAATCTCTACAGGAGGAATATGACCAGAGAAAGTATACAGTGGTACCTCGACATACGAGCGCCCCAACATACAAGTTTTTCGAGATACGAGCCGACGAATAAGTGATTTTTTGCTTTTAGTTACGAGCGAAATTTGAGATACGAGTTCGGTTCGGTAGTGTTGAAGATATTAATCTGTGATTTTAAATGTTTCTTTTTGACCTGTACTTTTGTTTTGTTTTTGCCTTTCCTAAAATGTTTCTTGCTTCTTCTTCATTATTATTTGTTCTCTCTCTCTCTCTCTCTCTATATGCAAAGCTTTGTTTTTTGAGACTTGAATAAACAAATTCAAGTTTATTATATTTTTGTGTGCTTTTAAAGTTAAAACACAAGAGGTAGTAACACGCAGTCGCGCCATCACGATCAGGAGGTTATTTCTACAAGTGAGATAAAGGAGATCTTAGGAATGTGGGAGAGAGTTTCACAGTTCGTGGAAAAAAAACACCCAGAAAAAGTTGCAACAGGTCGTGCATCTGACCTTTTTAATGACACTTGCCTAACTCATTTCCGAAACATTCTGAGAGGGAGGAAGAAACAAACCTCCTTTGACATGTTTTTATCTAAACGGCCTACAGGTGAAAGCGAGAAAAATGTAGCCAAAAAGGCAAAGACCAGTGAGGATATCTAATGCATTTCTTTACATTCTCTTTTTTGTTTTTGTGCAATAAATATTTGATATTTATAAATACGTTTTTATTATTTAAAACCACGTAACAAAAATAACTGGGGTGACATTTTGGAGGTTGAAAAGGATTAATGGTAGTTCAATTGTTTTGTATGGGGAAATTTGCTTCGAGATACGAGTAATTCAAGATACGAGCAAGGTTGCGGAACGAATTAAACTAGTATGTCGAGGTACCACTGTATATATTATTTTACTTATCCCAAGTTCACGTGGTGTACTGTGGAACTGATCATGAACTAGGATTTCAAGAAGAAAAACAAAGTTAATAGGAAAATAAATACCAAATTTTCCTTAAAATATGACATGGATGCATTATTGTTGAGTTACACCATGGTTAAACTTGGTTAAACCGTTTGGTTTTCGACCACTAGGACCCGGGTTCGATTCCCGCATTGGACACTTTTTTCTGTTTAAAAAAAAAAAAAATGCTCCAATGGCCCCCGATTCTTGCAAAAGTCCAACCCCACCAGCGAGTGCAAGTAACCAAACGGGGCTCTGGCATTTGTAAGTGCAAAGTCGAACTGCTTTTCACATGTGTAGACATGTGGTGCGCTTACAGTAAAAGCAGTCGCTAACTACCCACCATGATTATCATGGCCTGTACCACGTGTACTAGGGATAAGCAAAAAAAAAAAAACACCATTGCTGTATCCAATTGATTCAACATATAGATACAGGATGCAGAGAACCACCTCTGAATGAGATAAAAAGGGTTATCCAAAAAGAAACAATATACCGAACCTTACATAAAGAAAACATCCCCAAATGACTCTTAAAATAAATAATTATTATTGCAAAAGAAAGGGGGAAAAAGGGAACTTAAGGAATTAGAGAAAGTGCAGATTTTCAGAGACAAGCCAGGAAAGATGAGGAGATATTTGTCTATCAGGAATGTAACAAAATTAAAGAAGCCAACAAGGGTGAGGGACCAAGAGATCTATTCAAGGAAATTACAGGAAGCCTTGAACCTAGAATAGGAATGGCAAAGAAGGAAAGAAATAGGATAGAGAGAGACAGGAAACTCCACTGATATGAAAAAGAAGAAACAAACAAACTTGAAGTGTGAAGGAATTTGAAAAAAAAACCTCCTCCAACAAAATCATAAGTAAAGCAGGCTCTCGAAGAATCTGTGACAGAAAATCCACGGAAATTGATGATATTTGAGTTAATAAAAAAGCAGGAGAGGAGGCCATAATCACAGAACTAAGTCAGAACATATGGGAGTACCCAACTGGATATTTCTACCTATCCCCATAAAAGGAAACCCAAAGATCTGCATCAACTACAGAACCATCACATTTATTCCACACCCAAGTAAAATAATACAGACATGATATGAAACCCCATTTAAATAGAGAATTGCCAGGCTTCAGGAGAGGAGGTAGTGGGACAAGAGATTAAACAACAAACCTAAGATGGATGGATAATGGAAAGTCATAAAGAATAAAGAAAAATATGGATTTATGTTTCACTAATTATAGTAAAGCTTTTGACTGCGTAAATCACACTAAACTATGGACAACAATGAGGTTCATGGGAGTGCCATAAAACATCTAATTACCTTGATAAGGCACCATTTGGATTATAGGTTATAAACATAAGGTAATAAGACCAAATAAATAAATGGTGTGTGACGTTTCGGTAACAGTGTTGTTACCGAAACGTTACACACACACTATTTATTTATTTAGATTTGGTCTTATTACCTTATGTTTATAATCTATAATCCAAATTGTGCCTTACCATTCAGTACTTTTGTCTGAAGATGGTAACAACGCTGTTACCGAAATGTCATACACTATTTATTTATTTGGATTTGGTCTTATTACCTTATGTATCTAATTACCTTGATAAAAGAACTATATACAGACCATATGAAACCAAACTAGGTCAAACCACAGAAAGAAGTACAAGGCTATCACCATATCTCTTCAACCTCCACACATCAAGTAGGGTTGTAATACAGTGGACCCTCGGTTTGCGAGCATAATCCGTTCCAGAGCCATGCTCGTACTCCAAAAGGCTCGTAGTGCGAAACTAATTTCTTATTTTTAATAATTGAAACTCGGGCAATTCTTCTTGCTACGAACAATTGCAGTTTCCCACATTTTACATATTTCCCGAATCTGATCTGAAGGGAGGGATCCCAGTGAATTTTCATCCATCACGATTACGGGCAACCATCACGAGTTGCTCGTAATGCGAAATTTCACTCGTAATCCGAGGTAAAATTTTTCAAAAAATTTTGCTCGTACTGCGAAAAGCTCGTACTCCAAGGTGCTCGTAAACCGAGGGTCCACTGTATTGTGGAATAATTGAAATAAATCACTGATTACTTGATATTTATTCCAATAGTATATTTTATTATAGGGGTCGGTAAATCAGTAGTAGCGACAGGCGGTGTGTACAAAAGGACGTAATCAACGTGAGCTGATGACTCTCGCTCACTGGGAATTCCTCATTCGAGGGGAACAATCCCCATCACGAAAGAGGTTCAGAGGGTTACCCGGTCCTTTCGGACAAGGGTAGACACATTCCTTCAGTGTAGCGCGGCCCCGGACATCTAAGGGCATCACAGATTTGGCTCTGTTTCTTGCGGCTAAAAGCCGCCTGTCCCTCTAAGAAGACCAGCTCACGGTACAAAGGACCGTGGGTTTATTTGGTAGGCTAGAGTCTCGTTCGTTATCGGAATTAACCAGACAAATCCTGGCTCCACCAACTATTATTATATATATATTACCAATATCAGACATAATTATAGCCACGCTCAATAAATTGAAACAGCAAGTAGGTAAACAGCGTGGTAAGTTTCTTTATTGGGAACTACGAGCTTTCGGACATCAGCTGCCCTTCATCAGGTACAATGGGTGGTTGGAAAAAGTGAACCAATATATACATGCAGTAAATTAGCATAAGAGAAAGCTAACTAACATCTATTTAAAATAATTAAGAAATGTACATAGGAACTAAAGATAAAAGTACGAAATTTCTAAAAAATACGAAATTTCTAAAAAAATAGACTAAAAATCTGTGTATGACGGATAAAAGGTAAAACACGAGAAAAAAAAGGATGGGAAGACAAGAAAAGCGTAGGCTTTCTTAATTATTTTAAATAGATGTTAGTTAGCTTTCTCTTATGCTAATTTACTGCATGTATATATTGGTTCACTTTTTCCAACCACCCATTGTACCTGATGAAGGGCAGCTGATGTCCGAAAGCTCGTAGTTCCCAATAAAGAAACTTACCACGCTGTTTACCTACTTGCTGTTTCAATATTACCAATAGTTTGTCATCCTGACAGTTTCAGAATCCTCTGAAAGAAGGCCATGTGGACTCACCATGCCGTGCTGTGTGGACAGATGCTCTCCACCATCCTGAACATTGTGATGTTTGAGGACTGCCGTAACCAGTGGTCCATGTCACGGCCACTTCTAGGCCTCATCCTGCTCAACGCAGACTACTTCAATGGTCTGCGCCAGTCTGTAGTACGCAGCCAGCCTCCGGAGAGACAGGTGCTCATGGCACAATGGCTGGATGGCCTGATGGACGGCATTGAACACAACCTCCTCACCAAGAACAGGGACAGGTACTGGACAACATGTAGTCAAACCTCACCCAATACTTTATTTATATTGTCGCGGAGATAAATAAAGCAAGGGCAAAATTTGGGAATAATTAATTTATTATAAAGGTGGGTATTTACCTTTTAGTTCTACAATAAAATTATATACAAGAGGTATTTAAGGGAAAAAGAGTCAGATGATAAAAACAACTTACCCCAAGTTAAAGATAATAATAATGAGCGTCGTCAGCCACCGTCCCGTTTTCCTTATTTACAGATCAGCTTCCGAGAACCCCTCACACCTGTGGTCCCCCCCGGGGTCCAAGGATGATTGACAGGTGTCCCATCTGGATGGAGCTTCTTGACAATATTTTTTAAAAGGGCATACCTAGATCTGGGAAAGAAAAAATATTTTTTTTCTCAAAATATTTTGAGGGATTGCTCCCTCTATCAATTCATTGCACAATAAACAAAAAATATATGTATTGGTCACTAACAGATATATAATACAATGTAATGCGACTTGTGATTGTAAAACAACATTTGAAAATATCCCGCATGAGTTTCTTTTGAACGAAAAATCAAAATTTATTTTAAGAAGAAATAACAATTATTTCTAACCTTAGGGATGAAGTATGAAAGGATGAATTGTGAAGAGTAATGATAATTTGAGAATATTTATCCATATAATCACCAAAAGACTAACTTAAAGGATGCTAGCAACAACAATATAGCGAACCTTCCCTGTTTCCTCTTATAGTGAACCAAAGTTCAGTCCCCATTGGGGTTTGCTTTAGACAGGTTTTACTGTAGGACGTCTCTTTTGTTCAAGCATGATTCACATTGGAATATCTAGGCACAGTGCAAGCTACTGCACCATACACACAAAGCTCTTAACTGGCTCAATTATCTGTAAGTTCTTGTTGTTTCTTATCCCCTTGTGTAAATATTACACAAATTCCATGAGTTCATGCTCCTCAAGCTGTTTATGATAAGCTGCAGCCTCTCCCAAAGGTCCTGTTTAGTACATCTAATGCAAGCCAAAATATGTTCTGGAGCTGTAGGTGCCAAGCTACATTTTGGGCAAGTGGGGTAGATTTTGTTATTATTTTCTATCTTCAATGGTTTGAGATGGCCTGTTCTAAATCTTGTAACCAGTAAGTAAAATATACAAATGTGATTCCAGGTTTACGCAGAACCTCTCCATCTTCAGGCGGGACATCAACGACTCGCTACGCGGCCCTACTCCAGCTCTGAGTGACATGATGAGCTAGTGTGAGAGAGTGGGTGTAAAATTGATGTAAAATATGTTGTTTTAAACATATTTGGTCTCTTCTGTTTCTCACCATTACTTGATCAACTCCCAATACCACAATTATATATAGGTTTGTGTATAGTTCTTTCCATCTTACTCACCCATTTTTATATAAGAGATACATAATTTTATCACTAAGTGTATATATTAAAAAATTATTTCTTTCAAAAAAAAAAAAAAATTATGGATCATTTTTTGACCCCTTTATTACACACCCCCCCTCCTCCTCATATTTTTTTATAAAGAAGAAGTGGATGACCCCTGCAATAGTATTGTTGATGTCTCTCCCCATGGCAACTTCCCACAGTCCTATTTTTTAAAAAAGGAAAAAAAATGATGGCTTTAAATTTTTCCACTATATATTGTTAAATAAAGGAACATTTTATAAATGTTGTGTATCTCTCCTTATTTCTGTTGTACACCAACACCTTTTAAAATCCATAACGGGAGCCAAAAGCTTCCCCAAATCCAAATAAATAAATAGTGTGTGATGTTTCGGTAACAGTGTTGTTAGTACTGAA